GTCTCGTGGTGGAAAGGGAGAGGAAGCGGGAGGCCCTGAGCAACCGGATTTCTGAGGAGCCCACATTTGTATCCTAATCGGTTGCTCACTGCCAGGGGAGACAGGAAGAATCACAAGCCTTTCCAGTATTTTGCAGGCAGCCAGGCAGGGAGGTGGAGATACGTATCTCTGCAAGAAGATACGGGAAGGTGAGCCTGGTGTTCCCGTCGGGAGCTTCTGCCTTAATGTAAACAAGCGAAGGGGAACGGGAGCATGGTGGTCATTGTCTAGTATGGACCGAGGAGAAAGCAGGAATGGCGCTTTTGCAAAGCTGCTTAGCAATGTTTCCAGGAGGCCAGAAGCAGTCGTGATGGACAAGAGTTTAAAAGCAGTTCAGGATTAAAGTGCTAGTCAGGAATAAGGTGTTGCAGGGATGAGCAGCTGGCAAGGTAACAAGCCTCTTCTTCCTGCAAATCTTACTGATGGTCTTCATGCCCTTGGGCAGCTGCTCTCACTGCCTCCTGGCTAAAAGCAAAACTAGTGGCATGGCTCCTCTGGCTCACTGGACCGGTGGGGTGGGATGGGCGGCGTTGTGCCCATGCCATGATGTCCCCCAGACTCGCGGGGTCTCTTCCAGGGCTCCACACCTGGCAGATGATGGCCAGCTGCGAGGGGGGCCTCGGCAAGCCCAAAGAGCGGAATCTGCAGTTCGGCTACGACGGGAGGGACTTCCTCAGCCTGGATATGCAGGCCCTCACCTGGACGGCGGCCGACGTGGAGGCCCACAGGACCAAGAGGAACTGGCTGTCGGACCCTGCTGTCACCCAGCGCTTCAGGGCCTACGTGGACCAGACCTGTGCCGAGTGGTTCCAGGCCAGGCTGGATGCTGGCCAGGAAGGGCTGCGGAGGACGGGTGAGGAGGCTGAATGGAGGACATTTGGAGTGGCGTGTCTTCTTGTTCTTTCCTCCCAAAATGGAATGCCTTCCTGGGATGAATTCAAGCAGGGCAGCTGGACATGCACCCCTAGCCTGTTCTTCTTAGAACTTCCAGGGATTTGTATTTCCTTTCCTTTATTCTGTGTCGAGTTGTTCCTCCCCAGCTGGCAGGGTGCAGCTTTCCACCGCCTCCTTCAGGCAAGCGCCTGGCCAAGCTTTGGCTCCACTGGAGCAGCTCAGCGTGGTTGAGTCCTCCCCGCGTTCCAAGCAACCCCTCCCTGCCTGCACCACTGCTCTGCTCTAGCGAAACCCACCGGCCTCTGCTCAGCCTCTCCACCTCCTCCTGACTGGCAGGCCAAAGGCCAGGGAATTTTTCTGGCTAATGGGCAGGGCAGAAATCTGATTGTTGGATGGATGGCTGGATGGCTGGCTGGCTGGCTGGATGGATGGATGGATGGATGGATGGAGTTCCTCTCTGCTCCCCTTGCAGCTTCTTCCGGGACCAAGATCCTTCCCTGTGCTCTGCGGGAGTCCCCACTTCCTCTGTCCAGCCCCAGCTGCATATCTTTGGCAGAGAGAGAGAGGGATTGCAAACGAGGGCGGGGAGGCGGCAACGGGGGCTCCAAACTCTCACAGGATTGAGAGGAGGATCCAGGCTTCCTGCATCCGCACGCCTTGATGCAGGGCTTCTGCCCTTGAGTGTGGGCAGGTTTGCCCTTTTTGTTTGCTTGCTTCTGAAGCAGCATTTCCAGACCAAGTGGCTCCGAATGTGTGCATAGCTCCCTTTCCCCTTCTCAGGGAGGCAACTTCTGTGAGGTCAGTGTCAGATCAGGCTGCCACTGAGCATGTCTAGACTGCCCCATTTAGAGCGCTACGTTTTGTTTCGCAAAGAAAGGCGATGGAAACGGCAAAGAGGATCTTGCTTCTTCCTGGCTTTCCTTCCTCTTCCGTTCCTGGTCGGGCTCGTGGGTGGCCCTTTCCTTGCCCTCCTCCGGTGGATCTGACCTGGAGGGGTGAGGTGGGATGTGCAGACTTTGCTTTGCTTTAATTCATGCAAAAAGGCCGAAGCCAAGGAAGTTTGGGTGATACCTCCGAGAAAGCAAGAGGGGCAAACCGGCATCCATCCCTTGAAGGGAATATCCAGGACCTGCCTGCCTCTGAGGCCTTCCCTTTGGAGCATGTATGAAGCCGGGTGACCAAGCAGCCCGCCTGATAGTTGTCCCAAGCCCAGCCAAAGCTGGGTGGATTTTTCCAAAGCTCATCAGATGACTGAGGGTGGCTGGCAGAACCCTCTCCTTGGATGTTTTGGGGGTCGTGTAAGTTGAAATGGTTGAAGCTTCGGATCGGGACTAAATGGCCACATGAGGCAGTTTCCCGCATGTTCACAAAAGGCATCCCTCCTGCCAGGTCCTGGAGAAGCTCTGTGTTAACACAGGTGTTGGTGCTTTTGCAGAGCCTCCAAAGGTGAAGGTGACCAGAAGGGCAGGCCCTGGCAGCACGGAGACCCTCACCTGCCATGCCCAGGGCTTCTACCCCCGAAGGATCGACGTGAAGTGGAGCAGGGACAAGGAGGTCTGGGTGCAGGAGAGCTCCCGGGGGGTTCTGGCTCCAAACTCTGATGGGACTTTCTACTTCTGGCTGGGCATCGAGATCGATCCTGCGGAAAGGCAGCACTTTTGGTGCCACGTGGAACATGAAACCTTGCCAGAGCCTGTGATCAAAACATGGGAGGACCCCACAGGTGAGAGACTGCCCTGTGCAGGCAGCAAAGGCCCTTTTCTTGCAGTGGAGGATTCTGGGAGGTGACTTTTCCCAGGAGGAAGAGGCTGGGGAAACCCCTGGGAACCCTCTGCAACTGTTGGGAATGCTCTAGAATCCCCCAGGAGCATCCTCCGTGTGCGACGTGATTGATTTGCACGTTGTGTTTCTTAGCCCTGCTTTGGGGTGACTCTTTCCTGCCTTGCCAGCCCTAAAGAGGAACCCCCTGCCGAGGCCAGAGCTTTCTCTCCGCGCTACTGTGACTTGCTGCCCAAGATGTGAAGTATTCTGTGCAAATTAGTTCCGCAAATGCAAAGGGCCCTGGCTTTGTCAAGGAGTGGAAGAAGGAGCTCTTCCTAGTCTTTGCCCCCCCGCCCCATTCCACCCCTCTGAACTCCCAGGGCCGCATCCAGGGCGTTGCTGCGACTCTAATGGCTTTGCTCTTTCCCCCTAATTTTTCTGCAGCGTTCATCCTGAGGATTGTTCTTGGGGTTCTGGGGGCTCTCCTGCTGGTTGTAGTAGCTGTGGTTGCTTGGTGGCGTGTCAGTAAGTAAGATGTGGATGACCTGCTGGGGTGGAGATTTATTTATTTATTATTTATTTGGAGTTTTTGCATGCCGTCCCGTTCGCATGAGCCTCGGGATGGCTTCCAACACAATAAATAAACAGTCATATAAACAATGCATATAAAATCCGGATTCACCCTGGCTGTAGAAATTAAAACCAATAAATAATATTAACAGCTATTAAAATATTGTTTAAATAAGAAGGCCTTGGCCTGGCGCCAAAAAACAAATAACGACGGAGACCAGTGGGGCAATTCACAGGGCAGGTACTGTGGAGCCCCAGTGGGCCCACGCACCAGAGGGTCCGTGTGTGCACGGCCGGCCCAGGTGGGTGGGTGGAGCAGTTCCCCATGGCCTGTTTTCTGGTTGTGCGTGGTCTGTTCAGCGCACAGTGACCTTCCCTTCTGAGCCTGGCAGGGACGAGCTGTGGGGCATTTTAACGGCGAGCCCCACAAGCTGCGTGTGCTCCAGGCATGCCTGGAGGGGCTCAGCTTCCTGCAGGATGTGCCCTCCTGGGGGACTTCAGATGAGTCCAGGGGAAGGGCGTCTGTGCTGCCTTTCTTCAGCCTCTGTCAGCTCCCATCGTGATGAGTGCCCAAGGACCCAAGCCAGCCTGGTGCTCGGCGAGTTCTCCGTTGCTCCTGTAGGCGGAGAACCATCTCAGCTCAACCCCCTTGCATCTCTTTGGTGAAGCAGCAGGAGAGAAATGCTCAGGTAGAGGTCCGGCCAGCCCCAGCCGTCCAGATCACGTCCCCAGAAGATGACCTGAACTGTCCTCCAGGGCTGTCCAGAGGGAAGTCCCTGAAGCAGCGGACCTGATAAAGTCTTTATTCTCCTACAGTTTATGCAAACTGCTTCGGGACCTTCTGCCCTGGGTGTTGTTAGGGAACCACTGGGAAAGTTCTGCTGGGGAGCAGGAATCGGGGATCTTAGTGACTGCGGAGGAAGAGAGGGGATGTTCTCTGACTTGGAGTTGTGCCTATGTTTGTGTTTTTGCAGAGAGACTTCGGGGCGGCTGCAGAGCAGCAGCATCAGGTGAGCGCTGCCTCCCTCCTTGGTCATTTACTCCAACACGGGGCAGGCCTCTCTTGGGCAGAAAATGTGGGCATAAGAGGGTCAGTGGATGAACACACAGAACCAGGGCCACGTTTCGGGTTCTGATGGCAAGGAAGACCAAATGAGAAAGATGGCGGGAGTTGTCCTGGCAGACCAGTTTCTCTGAGGCCAGGCTTCCTCTGTCCAGCAAACCGGGTGTCCAGGCTTAGCAGCTGCTGTATCTTCAGAAAAAAATAAAAATATTCTGTGACACCAAGAGGCTCTCTCAGTTTCCCTCTCCCTCCATCGCCTCAGCAGGAAGCGGGCTCAGGAGCATTAACTGTGTTGTGTCTGAGCCTTTGGTTGCCGCTGACCTGTTGGGGGAGCTCCTGCTGGAAACATGGGCCTCCTTCCCACTCTCCCGGCCCCCAAACAGGGGTCTCTCTTTTAGGTAAAGTGGGGTTGCTGCTCCTGGAATCAGCCTGAGGAGAAGAGTGGGTAGCCCAAGAAATGCCTGGCAGGGACAGTGCGAGGTTGAGGGAGGCGCTTGCTGACTTGGATTGTACCTGTGGCCTGTTGTTCTGTGGTTCCTCAGAAGCCCTTCCTCCTCCTCCTCCTCCTCCTCCCCTCCCCTGACACACACACCCTGCTTCTCTGCTTCCCCGTGCTCTGTGTCCCCCTTTCTCCCAATTTCTCCCTGTATCCCTTTTTGTCTCTCTTCTCTCTGTCTGGTACTTCTCACGACCTTGTTCCTTAACCGGAACTGCAGGCGTGCAAGTTGCTATTAAAAAGAACTGTCTGCACCCTGGAAAATCCCTGCGTGCGCATTCGGGTGGGGCGTGCTCCCTGTCCCTTGGGGCACGTGTGTATGGGGATGCAGTGCCTGCCCTCCAAACTGAGAAGATCCCGTTGTTCCCGGCAACTCGAGTCTGGAGCTGGTGGTCCCTGGAGATGGCTTTCCTGTGGTCCCCCTGCCTTTCCCCACTTGCACCTTCTTGGATCCCCAGAAGTCAAGGGAACCGATGCTCTTTGTGGCCTTCTGCCAGCCCAGGGGGCGATTCTGCTGCTTGCGGGGAGGCCTCTGAGAAACTGGTTCTCCCCCCTGTGAGACCTCCATCCCCGTGGTTTTGTGGGGAGCTTTCGGACCTCGACTCCTGGAGGGTGCCGGGAAGAGGCTGGAGAAGGCTCTGGTGGGGAGCAGGAGGGAAACGCTTCATCACTGCAGCCAACGAGACCGGATTATGTCTAACTTGGAGCTGTACTGTGCTTGTCTTTTTGCAGAGAAACATCAAGATGGCCGTGAAGCAGAGTTAGGTGAGTTTTGCATGTTCAGACCAGCACAGGGCAGGCCTCTCCTGGCATGGGGGGCTCGTCTGGGATCGGTGTGCGTGTCCATCCATGTGTCTGAGCATGCGGCTGTCTGTGATGCTGCAGCGAAGCTCCTGCGGAAACACCAAACTTCTTCCCCTTCCAGGCTCAGAAAGGTTGTACCTCCTTCCGGTGAAGGCAGGTAGCTGCTTCTGGGCCCCGAGCCGGAGGAGAGGGGCTTGCTCAAGAAATTTGGCAGGGTCAGTGAGGGAGCTGGTTGCATGCTGGTATGCTGCCAGTCAAGAGAACGGTTGTGGGCTTAAGCCATCTGCACCTTCAGAGAAGATGGCTTAGATCCGACATGAATGCAGTTTTCTCTCTCTCTGGGGCTATTCTAAGGTCACAACAACCCACGGGTTAAATAAACCATGGTTTATTGGGGACGATCCTGCAGCTTGCCAATGACCTCCTCTTTCAGGCAGCAGCCTACAACTGGTTCTTTTGCAGGCTGCTGGTGTGTGAATCCAGTTGTTCTTTGTCATGGCCTCTGTGCATCACACATATGGGTACTGCACCTGTGTGGTGCCTTTGGCCGGAAGATTGATAGCTAGCGGTTTTTGGCGGGAAGCTCCGCTCCCCCTCCCCCTTGTGGCCTATAAAGAGCGGAGCGTTCGCCATTTTGTTCAGTCTTTGCGACCGCCGTTCGCTGTGCCTCGTGCCGCTTTCGACTTTCGCTTTGGCTATTCTTGGTTCTCTCCTTATATATTGCCCTTATACTACTTTCCCCTTACTTCGTTTCCCGCTTCTGTGTAGTTTTTCTCTTGTTATTTCTTCTTCAATCTATCAAAAAAAACAAAACAAAAAATATATACTTACCCTCTGCACTATCTCTCTTTTTCTTCTTTTCTTCTGCGATGGCACATCGAGCGGCTTTCTGCAAATGTGCGGACTGCAGGTCAAAAATGGCACCTACTGACCCACACGACCTATGCCTCCTCTGCCTTGGAGAGGGGCATAGGACGGATAAGTGCGTTCATTGCCTAGCCTTCTCAAAGCAGGCTAGGAAGAACCGCGAGAACCGGCTTCGGAGGCTCCTTTGGGATAGGGCTCTGATGCAATCAGACCCGCTCGTCTCTATCCCAAAACCTGGCTCCGCTTCTGTGGCTCCACCCTCACGCCCTTCGGATGAAGGTGCATCTGCTTCGGTGGCCCCCTCTGCTTCACCAAAAAAGAGGCATGAGAAGCGGAAGCATGCCAAAGAGAAGCCGGCAGGCCATAAGAAGGCCAGAAAGGAGAAGGCCTCTAAGCCTCCAAAGAAGGCTAAGTCCACAGACCGTTCCTGACATTGGGACTCGGAGCCGACGGGACCCTCGGTACCGATGGTGGTTACGATACCGACCCCGCCTGAACCGATCCTTCAGGAGGCCATGTGGATTACCCCTCAGGGGTCTCCCCGACGTGCAGTCGACCTCCCATCTGCACCCCTTCCAACTCTATGGGGATCTATCTTGGATGGGGAAATCCAGGACTCCCCTCCTAGAGCGAGGTCACCGACACCGATGCCCGTGGTAACATTGGAGACAGAAGCTGGTCTGTCCCCACCAGGGAATCAGAGGAGCCGCTCGGTAGAGCAACGCCCGGAGAGTTGGCGTCGTCCCTACTACCAACCTTGGGGAAACCCGCTCTCTGTGGAGTACTACCCTGCTCCCAGGGTGCGATCCTCACCTCCACCCCACGACCAACCGCGGTCTGTGGATTCAAGGAGGGTGCCACCTCGATCCCCGCAAAGCGGAAGCAGCCGCTCCTTCTCGCCAGCGGAGTCATCATCTTCTGCCCCACCATACTACGGTGCTGATTTGGATGACTCTGAAGTAGACTCAACCTCCCCGGACGTCGTGGTGACATCCCAGGATCCTGCGTCACCCGATGAATTGCACGTCTCCTTCGCGGAGCTGATGTCCAGGCTTGTCCGGTCCCTGGACATCGATGCAGCCCAGCGCCCGGGACCGTCGACGGACAAGTTTTACAACATCGTCCATGGGGAGCAATCGACCTTCATCGTTCTGCCACTTATAACTACCCTGCAGCAGGCGATGACGCAGCCCTGGGACCTACCTTCACATCCTCAGCCGACATCCAGGAGATATGAGTCTATGTACAGGGTCCGGGAAGAAGACATCCCCTTCCTGCTAAAGCACCCGAAACCAAACTCGGCGGTCGTCGAATCCTCGCAAGGCAGAGAGGCGAGGGGACATACGGCGCCGAGGGATAAGGAGGGCCGGAAAATAGATTCCCTGGCCAGGCGGGTCTATGCTGCCTCGGGCTTAGGACTTCGCATTTCCAACTACGAGGTGACGTTGGCGCGATATCAATATTTTATTATGCAGCGCCTCCACAACGTCGCCTCCACCCTCCCAGACCACCAGGGTGACCTTGCGAAGGTCCTAATCAAAGAAGCCATGCAGGTCGCAGTGCAGCAGTTGTCCACGGCATGTCACCACGTGGACACTGACTCCTGGGCCTCGGTCGGTGCCGTTTCCCTCCGGAGACACGCATGGCTTCGGAATTGTAATTTCCCGGAGGAAACCAAGCGGCGAATAGAAGAGATGCCTTTTGATGGTTCCGGGCTCTTCCATTCGCGTACCGACCACAAACTCAAGATACTGCAGGAGTCAAGAATGACGGCGCACAGGATGGAGATCCAGTCACACAGCAGACGTAAGTGGTCCTGGAATCGGCCAACCTACAGGCAGTCATACCAGCAGAGACAGCTGCCGCAACACCGCCAGCAACAACAGCATCAACAGCGCCGCCGCCCTCAGCCCCAACAGCGCTTCCAACGGGGCCGCCGTCGTTTCGACGATCGGAGGCAGCGCTGACGGGACTGGCAAACCACTCCTCACGCTCGTTTAATACCCACCCCCCTCTCATCTGGGGATCGGCTCCGAAGCCGACTCCCATTTGGGAGTCCATCACATCTGGTGGGTATTATCCATTGTTCAACACGGCTATCGAATAGAATTCGACATCGTTCCTTCATCGAGTCTGATCTGGTCTACTTCATGTTCGCCGGTACTTCTCGACGAAATACATCAACTTCTCCTTAAAGGAGCGATTCGTCAAGTATTTCCATCTGACGGACTTCATGGATTCTATTCCAGATACTTTACGGTCCCCAAGCGGGATGGTGGTCTACGTCCGATTTTGGATTTACGGGACTTGAATAAGTTTATTATACCGAGAAAGTTTCGTATGACCACCCTTCAAAACATTTTGCCGTTGTTAAGGAGAGGGGATTGGTTCGCCTCACTGGACCTGAAGGATGCCTACTTTCATATTTCAATTCATCCAACTTACAGGCGTTTCCTCCGTTTTGCTGTTGCAAACCAACTTTATGAATTCACAGTTTTACCCTTTGGACTGGCTACGGCTCCGAGAGTTTTTACCAAATGCATGGCTCCTGTCTGTGCCTTCCTACGCCTTCAGGGCATACAAATTTACCCGTACCTCGATGACTGGCTGTTGGTCTCGCAATCCAGAGAAGGACTCCTAGACACCACCCATACAACCCGTACCTTACTAGATAGTCTGGGCCTACATATTAATACAGAGAAAACTTCTTCCGACACAGACACTCACCTTCATTGGAGCCCTCTTGGATTTGATGTTGGAGAAAGCCTTCCTCCCTCAGGACAGACAGCAGACTCTCGCTCGCCATATCCATCGAATCCGACAAGAGGGAACGGTTACGGCGAGATCCATCCAGAGGGTCCTGGGGTATATGGCCTCCTCAGTTGCCGTAGTTCCACATGCCAGACTTCGGCTTCACCCACTACAACTATTCTTCAACAAGGTGTATCATCCACAAAGAGACCCACAGTTGAAACGGATTCGGATCCCGTCTTCCGTGCTCCACTCCCTGTGCTGGTGGCTGAAACCGACCAATCTCGTGATGGGAGTCCCCTTCAGGGCGCGACCTCCTTCGATAACTCTCGGTACTGACGCATCTCTCCTAGGATGGGGGGCGATCTGCTCTGGCCTGTCTACCCAGGGAACGTGGACTCGTCTAGAGTCCACGAATCATACCAACTTCCTAGAGCTTCTGGCAGTCTTCAAAGCCCTTTGTTCTTTCGAAGACCTCCTTCATCATCGGATCGTTCAGATAACTTCGGACAATATAGCGACCGTTTTTTATCTGAACAAGCAAGGAGGGACGAAGTCACCGACCTTAGCCAGGCTTTCTATGAGAATTTGGGACTGGTGCATTCAGAGACACATTACTCTGATGGCCGTTCATCTGGCCGGCACAGACAACGTGCACGCGGATCTTCTCAGCAGACACATCTTCACTTCTCTCGAGTGGGAACTGGATCCTCGTATGTGCAACCACCTTTTCAGGCACTGGGGGTTCCCTGATGTGGACTTATTCGCTACTCGACGGAACAGGGTATGCGAGACTTACTGTTCCAGAGCGGGAATTGGACAAGCATCCCTAGGGGACGCATTCATGAACCCTTGGGGCAACATCAACTTCTATGCTTTTCCTCCGATCCCTCTTTTGATGAAGGTCGTAGCAAAGATAGTGAGCGACTGTGCATTGGGGATACTAGTTGCCCCTTGGTGGCCACGTCAAGCGTGGTTTGCGAAACTGCTCGACATCTCCCGCGGGGAGTTTCTTCATCTTCCGGCACTTCCATATCTTATAACGCAAATGGACGGCACACTTCGTCACCCGGACTTGCTCTCATTGAACCTGACAGCGTGGCGGATTCGATGATTGACCTTTCATTGGGGCCGACGACGGATTCGAGAGCCTCGAATCTGACAGCTTCTATTAATCCATCGGTATCGACGATTACTTCGACCGCTTCGGTTCCGATTCTTGAATCCAACCATGCGGGTGCCTCTCACTGCCACAGTCTCTCCGTACCATCCGGTTCAAGACAGACCCCGTCGAATTCGAACCCAATGCTCTTGCACCCTGAGATTCAGCATATTATCGACTCTGCCCTAAAGCCGTCCACAAGGAAGTCATATACGGCTAAATGGAAACGTTTTTCCACCTTTGCCGATTCTCATTCGTTCTCCCCACTCATCTCATCAATCGAACAAATTCTTCAGTTCCTTCTGGAGTTGCATCACTCTGGACTGAAGCTGTCTTCTATTAAAGTGTATACGGCCGCAATAGCCTACTACAGTGGCTTAGTCGACGGATCACCCCTATTTTCTCATCCTATCCTCAAGAGATTTTTGAAAGGACTGTATAATCTTAATCCATCAATTAGACTGGTTATGCCCACGTGGAGCCTTTCTGTAGTTCTACAGGCCCTTATGAAGGCCCCGTTTGAACCTTTGGCGACTGTGGATCTCCGATGAGTTTCGTGGAAGACGGCGTTCCTTGCAGCTGTCACGTCAGCCCTGAGGGCCAGTGAACTTTGTGCCCTCCGCGTCGACCCTCCTTATCTAAACTTCCACAGAGAAAAGGTCGTTTTACGTCTCGACCCATCTTTCTTGCCCAAAGTCTCTACACCTTTCCATACAGGACAAGACATTGTACTGCCCGCCTTTTTACCATCGCCGTCGAATCCCTTGGAAAGATCCTTGCACTCCCTCGACGTTCGGCGTTGTTTAGCCTTTTATCGATCGCGAACGGAGTCTATTCGGCGATCCAATAAACTGTTCATCAAATATTCGGCTAGAGATCAGGGCGACCCAGTCACTCCACAAAGGCTTTCTAAATGGATATCCACACTATTGTCTTGTGTTATCAGTTAGCTAAGCTCTATTTGCCTTCAGTTCCTCGAGGCCATTCTACTAGAGCTGTCGCTACATCTTCTGCTTTCGTATCCGGGGTTCCGATTGATGACGTCTGCAGAGCCGCTGCTTGGGTGAATCCCTGCACTTTCGCCAAGCATTACCGTCTCGATGTTCGGGCTTGACGGGACTGCTCCTTCAGTAGAACTGTTCTCTCCTCCGTCCTTCGATGAGGACACCTTCCCTCCTCCTTTGATGGTAAGCTTGTTAATCTACCCATATGTGTGATGCACAGAGGCCACGACGAAGAAAAGCAGGTTGCTTACCTGTAACTGATGTTCTTCGAGTGGCCATCTGTGCAATCACACAACCCGCCCGTTGGCCCCGCTCGGTGTCGGTGAGTGGATGCATCGACAGCTCAGTGTTGATGAGAGAGGGCACTTTCGGTACCAACCATCTCCTTTACGGTACCGACAAAAAAAAAAAAATCCATTAAGATACCATACATTCGGTCGCAAAGACTGAACAAAATGGCGGACACTCCGCTCTTTATAGGCCACAAGGGGGAGGGGGAGTGGAGCTTCCCGCCAAAAACCGTTAGCTATCAATCTTGCGGCCAAAGGCACCACGCAGGCGCAGTACCCATATGTGTGACTGCACAGATGGCCACTCGAAGAACATCAGTTACAGGTAAGCAACCTGCTTTTTTTGCAACAAGAAACCGTGGGCTTGGTTAGCTCCCCAAAAATACCCCAACTGTACAGGTAGAGATGACACACTTAGCAACAAGGAAGGAGCTGGTTTTAAAAGCAGAAGAGTCATGGGTTTAACCCATGGACTACTGTTACATGAGGACCTGGTTGTGTTCCCTCCCTCCCTCACACACACACATGCACAAATGTTCACACATACCTACCCACACAAAACACCCTCTCTTTGGTCCACCCTTGCTCTGGAGCCCCATGTCCCTCAATTTCTCCCTCTTCTCTTTCTGTCTCCTCTTGTCTGTCTCTTTCCCCAGTCTTACAGTTCTCAGAGTGTCTTTCGGTTGAGGCCAAAGATTTGAAAATTGCTTTTAAACAACTTTCTGCACTCTGGAGACTCCAAGGATGTGCCGGGGTTGAGGAATGCAATCTGTGCCTTAGTCCATGTATGTATGGGAAACCAACTGCTCCCCTCTTGATGGAGAAGCTGTAACCGTTCCCAGAATCTTCCGCTGGTGATCCCAGGAGAAAACTTTCCTGGAGTCTCTCAGATGGCAGCCGCTCCTTAGCTCCATCCACGGATTAGACAAGAGGGAACTCTGCCTGTGTGGGAGCTCCATCCCTGGAGGGCCATGCGGCACTTGGGGCTTCCTTCCGGGGGGGGGGGCGTTAGGGGGAGGGTCTCCTGGACAAGAGGACTTTAAAAAAAAAAAAAGTTTTATTTGAAATTATAATCCTAAAAAAACAAAACGAACAAAAAAAACCTACAAACAACATCCATCATCAAAAACATCGAGCCCGCTGGGTCAGCTCCCACACCCTTCTTTTTCCATTTATGATAACTTTAAAAACATATTTAAATTTATGTGAAATCCCATTTCTCTAGCCAATAATAAAAAAAGCCCCAAGTTTGGTAGAAGTTGGGCAGAGGGCTTTGCAACTGCAGGCCATGAGATTGGAGCTCTTGAGTGTGTCTTTTGCCTGTTTGTGTTTTCTTGCAGAGAAATTACACAATGGCCTGGAAGCAACAGAATCATGTGAGTGTTGGCTCCCCCTTTGCGTTTTTATGCCGACCCAGGTCGGGCCTCCCTGGGGTGGGAAATTGGGTCATGGGAGTTGTAGTGGAGGAATGGAAGGAGGGAGGCAAGACGTGTGCTGTGAAGCTAGTGTTGTGCACGCATATAGGTCTCTTCCTTCGTCACACAGACGTGTGCCCTTTGCTCCCTACCCCGCCGCACACCAGAAAAATGCCCTCGGAAGCCCATGCTTAGAGACAAGCCCTGCCTTTTGTTCTAAATATAGATTTAAAATTTTAACTCGTGTATATGATTTTTTTGTGCTGGTGCTGGTGCTGTGGCCAAAGGACTTAGGCTGGACTGATTAGAAAAGTTTGGTCTGTGTCTCAGAACTAGCTTAGACTCCCCCTTCGCTCCCTCCTGCCCAAAACTGAAACGCCTTTCTCTCCAGCCCAGCACAAGGGTCTGAGAACTCCAGCAACAGTATTTGTGCGGGAATCCCATCGAAAGGGCGGGGGGGGGGTGCGTGTGCATGTGTGTTTTAGAGTGTTTCATGGTTAGCAACTTCCTCGCAAGCAAACTGCATCTCTGCACCCTTTGGAGATACAGCCTGGCCCGCCTCATCTCTTGGATGCAGAGTAATTTTAACATGGGCAGCTAGATAGTCCCCACTCCTATTCCCAAATAGCAGCAGCCTGTGGGTCAGATGATGTCGCTGGGGCTGGCCTTCCTTGGCACCATCAGCCTGCATCCTTTCTTAACCCACGGCCATCTTGGAAGGGGCACAGTATTCCCTGTCTCCTCCCAGCCCTGCAAAGGGGACCGGCAGGCAAGGCGAGGAGACGCCACAGGGAGGTCCTCTGTGGTGGGACCTCCAGGGAGCGGCACTCGGAAGCTCGGTCCAGCCCCTGGAGGAGCCCTGGGAGCCCGGTGGGTCAGAGGCTCTGCATCCTGCCCTACATTCTCTTCCCATCTCGGGTGGAGCACAAGGGAATCCATCCTCCCTGCCGGGAGAGATGCTGAGAGCCCTTTCCTCATCTGGGGTTTCATCACCCGGCCTGCTCTCTAACCTACACCTCTCTTTCTTGCGGCAGCCTGACCCGTGTGGTCCGTGCCCGCTGGGCTGGCGGGTCTCTCTCGAAGTGTTTCCTCCTGCATCCGGGGTTCTTCTGTCCTCTGTGTGGACTTCTTCAGCGCCAGCAAGCTGGATGTATCTACTCCATTTGCGGGATACCATCCTGGGATGGAAAACGGGGAAAGCCGAGGACTGGGTGGGAGTTGCCTCCATGTTCCCAGTTCCCTGCTGTGCAGCCAGCGGCAGACAGGCCATAATTCCTCATACCTCTACCCGATCCGAGCCAGGGACACTCGGACCCTTCCGATCTCCTTGGGACAAGAGCTGGGGAAGCAAAACTGAAACCGTCCACCTCTGCCCCAAGCTGAAGCTCTGCAAAGCAGCCAGACTGAGGAGGAAGGCTCTGAGCTCAGTATTAAGCCTGCCTTGGAAACGACGCACACAAGAGCTTGAAACAGCAAACTTGATTTAGAATGAGGAACAGAAACAGAGAGAGGCACACAGAACTAAAAGCAGATTGAAACTCAGAAGAATTCTTGCTCTCAGAACAAGGAAGCAATATCGACAGAAATACCTTAAGGCCAGACTACTTCTCTGTAAGCCATGGAGAAATTCTTGGAAACTGCTGAGGGCTGGAATAATACAGCCCTGTCCTGCCCCTCCTCTGTGTTTCACGTAGGTGAGGATCTTCCACTTGGATAGGGCCAAAGTCAGATTCCAGGTTCACTGGGTTCATCATCAGATTCTAGATGATGACCGAAGATCCAGGCACCTTCCTGGGAAAGGCCAGGAAGAAACACCCTCCGAGGAGATAATTGCCCCTGGTGTTATATCCTCAAACCTCTGACTGTTGCATGATGAGCCTCCAAAGCCAGTCACTGTCAGGCGGGACACTTTGTGAGAGTCCAGTGGGAATGGAAAACTTGCCCACCCAGCTGGAATTAGAAATGGATGCCCCTGTCGGCGTCCCCACAAGATCAGGCTGGGATACCCTCCTAGATTGCCACTCCTTTGGAGGTGAACGGAGCGATTCTTCCATTTGCTTTTATCAGCAGGTCAAATCCTTATGGGTGGGTTTGCAGGGCAGGTGGGCTGGATCCATGCAAGGGAAGGGAATCGCTCCATTTATTTGTATGGAGGGAGGGAGGCAGGGAGGGTGATGGAGAGATGACAGGAAAACAAATAGCCTGGAGAGGAAAGCAAGCAGGGTGAAGGGTGGTAAGAGAGAGCAGTCAGCCTGAGCAGCACTATAGGGGATTATCCCCCAAATGTTTGATTGCCCCATGCCCCTTACAGCAGCCACTCCGGTGCCCAAGGCATGCTTTTGAAGGCCCAGTGTGACCACGTGCCCAGAAAGTTTGGCAGTTTGCTAGTATTGTAAATCGCCACTTTGTGTTAGAACAGCAGAAAACGATGGCCTGACAACGTTGCAGAGAATGAGTCAAGTGCTCTTAAATTTTGTAGAGCGAATACCATGTATCCATATGGTATCGATTATCTATATTAAATCCAAGTCTTTGTTCTTTGAGAGAGATGAAAAAGCTGGGATTGGCGAGTAGCTTCTGGCTGAAACCCGGCGTCTCCGGTTGGCTCTCCCTGCTCCATGTCCCTGCTGTGCCCTGACGGATCTACTCCGGAGCGATCCCCACACGCCCACAACAGATGTGGGACTGATTCCCATTCCGCTGGTGCACGATCAAAATGGTGTACAGTCCTGTGTAAAACGGTATTGAAAACAGATGCTATATCAGCATGCATAGTGCAATTTTTTAAACAGAGAATTTTTTATTGTTCTTTTTGGAATAAAAAACAAATCGCCACCTGCTTGCCTGCCTCTTCTTTTCAGTGTTAGGGTTACCCTGTGAGTCAAGCAGGGTACACCCTCCGTCTGGCTCCATCCTGGCCGGACTGGGATTGTGGGGAGGGGGCAAAGACACAACTGGCTCTGTGTGCTCCCCACCTTTTATTTATGTAAAACTTTTCTATCCCGTTCTAGTTCTATACCCCATCACAGTCATCTCAGGGCAGTTTGCAACAGATTAATACAATAAAATAAAAATGGAAATAAGAGTAAGAATTGCACAGCATCCGATGTTAAAATATAAAACCACTAAGTAAAACAGGTGAACAATTAAAGTACCAGGAGAATGAAAAGGTCCTTCAAATGCAGTTTGGGGAGCAGAAAATGGCCATCCTGTGACCCCCCAGTTGTAGTATCTCTGGGTGGCGAAAAAAGCTGCTCTGATCTCTGTTGTTGGGAAAAACTTTCAGGATACCTTATGGAGGACTTCCGCACTCCCACCCATTTGCAAGAAGGGTTGCCCTGTTCACATGTGAGTTCAGAAAGGTCCGTTTTTGTGATCCCAGGGAAGATTGAGTCATCCTGCATTCAGCATAGTTTCTTTATCCATCGATGCTCCTGTTTTATAACATTTATTAACTGCAAATCACAGGAAGGAATTGATAGCAGAGTATTTATTTATTAAAACATTTCTATGCCGCCCCTTGCCGAAGCCTCGGGGCAGCTCACAGCACAAAATAAAATACAATAAAATACAAAAATAACAATATAAAATGAATAATATAAATAACAATATAAAAATATTTGTACCTGGGTTAGGACCTGATAACCTAAAAGACTACCTTTTTCCATATGTACCTACCTGCCCAGATCGGGGCAGGAGGTCCTTCTGAAAGAGCCGTCCCTCAAGGGGATGAGGGGGTGGTGAAAAGAGGAAGGTCCCCCTTGGTGGCTGCCCCTCATTTATGGAACAAGATCCCCAGCGAAATGCACCCGGTGCCAACGTTGCTTTCATTCCGACACCAGGCAAAAACGTGTCCCTTCACATTTTTTAATAATTTTAAATAGACTTGTTAATCCATTGCTGTGTATCATTGTCCTGCTCGCAATTTTAATGCCCAATTGTTACATTGCAGTGTTTTTATATATAACTGGCTTTTATTATTTTAATTATTTGTAATATGGATTGCTTGTAGTAAGCCACCTAAAGACTCCTGTTGAACTAGCAGGTGGCATATAAATTTTAAAAAATTAAATAGATTTGCTGACAAACATTAGAACAGAAAAAAGAGACATGAAATGTGTAGGGCATACACGACGCATCGAGATTTTCTACTATCACTTTGCCCCTCAGTCTGGAGCAACCCCCACCTGGTCTGTTGCTCTTTTATTCCACCTCTTTCTAAGTACTTTGGTTTTCACTTCCTTAAGTCTACAGATATTTAATGCAAAGTCTCTGAGCCTCCACATCACGCAGCAAACCTGGAACTGGAGTACAAAAAATGCTGGGGGGTGTCACAAGATCCCGGAATTTCAATTCATGAGGAGGAAATAAAACTCGGGTTCATGGGAAAGATCAAGCGTCCAGACCATCGGTGGCTTTATTGCATGACCCAGGTTCCCCTGGTAGGCTCACGATAATGCATTACTGGGCAGGCAGAGGTGAACTCGCTGCAAGGTTTCAATACAAGTACAGGGTATTTTATACCCTCCTGGTCATGTACACAGGTACAGGGCAATTGATGACAGAATGCAGAGATTACAATAAGGTTCTGAGGTCATCACATACAGAACAGATAAAGGAATGTCAGTCAATCACACAGTAACAATGAGATTACAATATTTCTAATTGCCCGTATTGACACTTTAGTTGAGTAACTTGAACCCATCTCCAGGTCTGCTCAGACAAGCTATTCATGAACTCAAGCTCATCCAGACTCAGACCCTAAGTAATGCATCCACACCATTCTGAATGGCCAGGGCGCATGGAGCCCTCTGGACTAGCAAAAGATATTTCCTGGTAAATTGTGAATTCCAACCATGATATTTAATCATTGTGAAGGTATATAATGTATATTTGGACTAAATGGCCTGTCTACAGTAGCTTATGGCTAAAGGTGAGAGAAAGGAGCGGGGAACGAATGCCATTTTAAACAGTGACTTAGCTCGGTTTGAGAAGGAGTACAGGATTGATTCCACAATGCAAAAGCACACAGAAGCCATGTTTTTCTGACAGGATTTATCCAAATTTTCCCAACGGGCGGCGGGGGGGGGGGGGGGGGGGGGGGGAGGTGGTGCTTGCTTTATTCTCTCGGTCAAGTGAATGTTTCGTATTGTGTATCCAAATCTTTCTGCAACTGGAGACTCTTCTTTCAAAAATACATTCGGGGAGCAAAGAGGGAGGTTGTCTGGTGTCTGTTTCATGTGCCGTGCCCAGGCAGTTTCTTTCTTTATGGGATTTTTAATCCCACCACATGAGCCTATAAGACTCTCTGAGTGGGTTACAAAGTTAAAAATACACAACTAGAATAAATAGAATTATACAATAAAATAATATTAAAACTGATCATTATTGTGATAATAAAATCCAACAATCCAAAACCAACATCCTTATAAACCTTAACAGAATCTCAATTTAACCAACCAAGGACAAGATAAAAAGTAAAATACCAGGTTATCGTGCAGATGGAAGATATTAACATAATCCTAACAATTAAAGTATGGAGAGAATAAAAAGGTCTCTACCCGGCACTGAAAAGAGTACAAGGAGGGTGCCAGGTGAACCTCTCTGGGGAGCTGATTCCACAGTTGGGGTGCCACTGCTGAGAAAGCCCTCCCTCCCTTATTTCCTGAGGAGGGGGCTCCTTGGGAAAGACCTCCCATAATGATCTAAGGTTGATCTTTTGATTGGACAGATTTTGGCAATCTCCTCAAAGGACTAGACTATAGGTGTTTTCTGTATAGATTACACAACAGAATGTGAGATGAGGGAGGCCAGAGCCCGCAGGCTGGGAGATGGAATTGGGGGCCAGCTTTGCATATGCGTCAAGGCAGATCCTGACAACTAAAGAGTAACCTCTGAGCAATACATTGGTCAAGAAGTGTGCATGTTCTTGCACACTAGGGGAGTGCAAGGAATCTGTTTGGGGCTGGGGATGCATTGGATTTTCTGGCATCAGCTTCCTGGACTCTGCTGCTCTTTGCAGCAACCCTGAGTCCAAGTTCCCACCAGGCATCACCAGGAATCCAACTCCACCTGCTGTGCAGGAAACACCCCTTTCCTGCTTGCGCTGCCGCGGCCACCAGCAGCCAGTGGGGAGCAGGTCGGTCAAGGGCACGGCGACTGGTCCACCTGCTCCCATGTGCCCTTTCCCACTTCCTGCAGCTTCTCCTGATGGGGACAGTTGCCGGTTGGGCAACCAGGGATCTGATCCATGAGTATCCATGGCCTTCTTGGCTCAGCTTGGTTTGCCGGACCAGGCCAAGCATGGAGGAAGTGGAAGTCCACGGATACCAGAGGGAGGGATTCCGAAAGGGTTCATCCCAACTGTTGCATGAGCTAATGAGCCTTCACCTGGGTACAGGTGTCCCAGTGGGTGCCTGATGTGAGCTCCAGCCATCTCCCAGCCTCTTTCCTGAGCCTGAGCTCACCTGAAGGCCAGGGACACATTGCGGCATCCTGGTGGGCCACCCAGCTGTACCAAACAAACACCAAGCCACTGCGGAGCACCCTGGGTTCCACACATCTCCAAGGGGGGGGCAGTGTGAGAGACCCTTCCCAGCCATGGATGCTGCGGCCAGGCACCAATTTTCACCTTCCCCACCCATGCATCTGGGTGAAAGAACTTGGGCACAAGCTGGAGCCCCTCTTGGGATCAGGTCCTCTGAATACATCCGAAAGGGAGATTCACCAAAACTACAGGAGAAATATCAAAAGGTATTGAATCAAGAAGTAACAACCATGGAAGTAATAGAGGCAATTAAGCAGCAAAAGAACGATAAAACTCCTGCCTGGATGGGCTGCCAGCAGAGTTTTATAAATCCTTTGAAGGAGTCTTTGCTACGCTTTTTAAAGATATATGTAATGCAGCACTGTTAAATGCTAAAATACCAAATACTTGGACAGAGGCAAATATCACATTAATACTGAAAGAAGATATGGTCTTGACACAGATTCAGAATTATAGACCTATATCATTATTAAATGTGGATTACAACATTTTTGCCTCCATAATGGCAGAAAGATTAAAGAAGTTTCTAATAGACTTTATTCACTCAGACCAAATGTTTTTTTGCCTAAAAGACAAATGAGGAATAATTTGAGAACTATCTTGGATATCCTAGAGTATTATGAGATACATATGGAAAAACTAATGGCTTTATTATTTATAGATGCACAGAAGGCCTTTGATAATGTCAACTGGCAATTTATGATGCAACAGATGGCCTAAATGGAGTTTGGTGAAAAGTTTATTAATGCGATATCAAGCATTTATCAAAAGCAGTCGGCTAGGATTATAATTAATGGAGAATTTACAAAGATTATAGAGATACAAAAGGGTACAAGACAAGGATGCCCGTTATCACCTCTGTTGTTTATACTGATTTTAGAGGTGTTGAATAGAAGTATCAGGGATGATGCGGACATTAGAGGTACCAGAATTAGAGATGAAAGCTACAAATTGCAAGCATTTGCAGATGATCTGGTTTTCATAATGGAGGAACCCTTTGCAACAATGCCAAAAGTCCTACAAAGGACTGAAGAATATGGCGAGGTTACTGGGATAAAAATAAATAGAGAAAAGACGAAACTGTTAGTAAAAAATTTTACACAAGACCAGAGAAAAACCCTGCAGGAACAAGTAGATTTGCAGATGGTTAAAAAGATTAAGTATCTGGGAATTTATCTTACAGCCAAGTGTACTACTCTGAAAGAAGACAATTATGATAAACTATTGAAGGATATTAAGAGTGATCTGGAAAAATGAGCTAATTTGCAATTATCTTTGCTGGGAAGAATAGT